CTTCCTTCCTTCCTTCCTTCCTTCTTTCCTTCCTTCCTTCCTTCTTTCCTTCCTTCCTTCTTTCCTTCCTTCCATCCTTCTTTCCATTTTTTTCCCTTCCTCCTATCTATCTTTCTTTGGTTTTGGAGGGAAGTTAAATAGGAATTGTCCTTTTATTCATTATTTAATGAACTATCTTGTTAGGATTTTAACCTTTTTTCCATACTTTTTTTCTTTTGGAGGACAAATTCCAGATTATATACTAATAGCTTGCTACAAATAAGAATAAAGTTTTTAGAAATAGAAATTGAAAGTTTTAATAGGCCTACTTAGTAGACGTACCATTATAGAGTTTTATATACTATAGTTAATATACAAATGTAGAAAGTCCTTAGGTAAGAATTGTGAAAAATAATGTAAATTGAGCCACTTCAAAATGGAGTCAAAACTGCCATTACATAGGAATTGCCTTGTATGTCTTACTCTTCACACACTTCGAAGGTTTAAACTGGGCCAAATAACCTTTAGACTAAGCAACCTTGTATTCCAAACAACTCTTTGCAGAGTTAACAGGAAAACAAACACTATGACTGCTGGACTGAAAACTAAAGACCTTCTTTAGAATTAGCACCATCATGTGGAGCTATAGAATCACTCAGCTTATTTGCACCTATGGAAATGTCTTCCTTGGCTTATTAACATCAACAGAATTTTTTTTCTTTTATTTATGTTAATGATTCCCCTTTTCTTTCTCATAAATACTCCTTGCCTTCACCACCTAATCGGAATACTATTTGGGTTTCTGCCTGAATCAGTGCTTCCTAGGATTGCAATTCTTTTTTGATCTCAAACACTTGTGCCTCCCACTTTGGCTTTTTATTTTTTTATATTAACAGAGTATGTAAAGAGTAGAAATCTGGAATTGTAAAGACAAGAAAATTAAAGTTAATTGAATATCATAAATTAGAAAATGTATATTGCTTGACAATAATTGAGGATTTTAAATTGTTTTTAACTGTAAAACATTTAATTAAGATTAGGCTTCTCTTTCTAAATCAGCTACACTTTGAAAGAGTCCTAATAAAACCTGGATATATAAAGTATGTACCTGGGCATGATTCCTCTCTATGTATACTTTCTCACTTTTCCTGGATCTTGGACCTCATGCACTTGAGAACTTTTGAGAGTAGTCTGTGCAGGTCATAAGATCTCACATAGTAAGAAGTTATTAGAGTCTTAACATTTTTATCTCCATTCACTTGAAAATAAATGACTTCATCAAAATATGTAGTTCCATAGCAATGCAAAGGCTCGGTAGGCAAATGACCAAATGTGTCCAAATATAACATTTTAATGTTTTGAGAAATTATTACTTAAAGGTAGTTCCAGTTATGCTCAGGGTATAACCAGTTTCAATTTTCACTTGGAAAGAGTACCAATACCCCACTCTCTTATTGGCAAAGTGGCTGCTCACTAGGATTGGAGGTTGTACTGACCTTCTGTGGAATCTGGGCAAGGGCTGAGGCAATGAGATTGGCTTTTTCTTCTGTAAGATTTTTAACCATTGACCCCAGAGAAAACACCACAATACCATATTCACCTGAACTTTGGACAAATTCTTCCATTTCCTGCAGAGATAAAATTTTCTTTTATAAAAATATAGGATTACAGAGAAAAAAAAGACACTCTACTCTTCTAAATATGCAGAGTCAAGAAAAGTAACAGAGACATTGTTAGACTGGTCTTCTTCTGTCTCGTAGAACTCTAAGAGAAAATATGTTTCTGAAAAGTATGGCTTAAATATATAATGAGTGATTATAAATAGAGTCATGGAGTCAAACCATTGTACCAAATGAATAGATGATAAGAAACAGATCTTCTCATGGTATAAGGAGCTATTACTCCCAAGGTTTAATTTATAAACCAACAGAGTTGTTTGCAAACTCATAAAAATATTCCTTGGAGGGGAACCCATAAAAAGATTTTGAACTAGGCTTAAAATTTTTTAGCATGCTAGTTTACAGCCAATAAATTATTAATAAATTGATCTAACTTTCTGTTAGGTATTTAGGATATTTTTCTCATACTTATTTTTTTATGTATTCATAAGGCTAAAAAATGAATTTTTAAAAATAGGAGATATA